CTCACCTCAGCCTCCCAAAGGCGCGGGATTACAGGCTGAGCCACTGAGCCCGGCAGATTTTTTTTTAAATTATGAAAGTAATCAATCAAATGGTTAGATACAATGCCCCTCTCTTCACCTCCCATCTTACTGATAGTGAATAGGCTGAAGAGACAAAGCAACAGTAAACAATTCATCATATTAAGAATAAATTTTAAATGGAGATGAATATGCTCTATTCAGAATAAGATAACTAAAAACCAGATAGAGACCTCTGTAACCAGAAATAGAAAATACTGAGATATTGACATTTGATTTGAGCACCACAATGAGTTAAAAGTGGCCAGGAGTCTCAGTCTGACAGATTACCTTTACACTACTTCTACTTTGCTATTCTCTTGACTTTATAGTAAGGATAAGTGGAATGACCCAACGTGGAACATGAACCGAGATGAAGAGAGGAAAGAAAAAAAATCCAACATTACTTTTCCCCATGATAAGCTAAGTACATGTGAAATTCTGTAGATTCCCACTTTTTAGCAAGGCTGAAATAAATCTAGCCTGTAAAATTTGTTTTGTTGAAATTATTAAAAAAAACAAAACAAAACAAAACTCACACTATGAATATTCAGTTAAAAGATGTTGATTAAAAAAAATCTTGGGGCTGGGCTTGGTGGCTCAGCCTGTAATCCCAGCACTTTGGGAGACCAAGGCGAGTGGATTGCCTGTGCCCGAGGTTCGAGGCCAGCCCAGGCAACTTAGCGAGACCTCATGCCTACAATAAACAAAAAATTAGCCAGGTGTAGTAGCGCATATCTGTAGTTCCAGCTACTTGGAAGGGTGAGGCGGAAGAATTTTCCAGAGTCCAGAAGGTCGAGGCTGTGGTGGCTGTGAGCATGCCACTGCACTCCAGCCTTGGTGATGGAGTGAGAGACTCCAACTCAAAAAAAAAAAAAAAATCTTGAAATCACTCATGGTTATCTACATAGCATATTGAATGTGGCTTAATGAAAACATTTATTATAGAGGTCCTAAGCCATATTCATGTTTTATTTTTTGAAAAAGCATAAATGCACATTGCTCTATGGTAGGATGTGTTAGGCATAACATTTTTACAAGCCGAATGATATATTAGATGCATTTCAGAGGCTTCTTCTGAGGGAATTGCAAGTTTGATTGTCTATTAAGGACACTTTCTTTATTTAGGGTCAGCAAGTATCTATGATACATTAAGCTCTTAAAACCTTTATGAAGGGCAACCCCCTTGGGCCCCCCCCCCCCCACTGTGGGAGCTTTTCTGTCCTTTCAATAAATCTTGCTGTCAAAAAACAAAACAAAAACCCAGTGACGACACTGTTCCTCTTGTCAGGAAGATTACTTTGCACAAAGGTAATATAACAAAAGTGCTTTCAAAGAAAAGGCTCAAGTCCCTTGACTGCCTCCCAGACAGGCAAAGATATCTCAGGAGTTTCTTACTCCCATTATCCAGAGACGGGGAGGATAGCTTTTGTCTGCAATAGAGTTATTTCATGTGCACATAAAATATCAATGTAAGTCATGTTGGTCTTTCTAATTCTCCTCACCCTTGCTCAGTCCTAAATGCACCAGCAAAGCACCCGCGAATCTCACAGCATTAAGCATTGAGCTGCACTCAGCTTGAGTCAAGGGTGGAAGGAGAAGTTATTTGGCACAAATGAACCCTTAACAAACCCAACTCCTTCAGAGAAACAACCATCTGTTTCAATGCTGGAGGGAAACCTGGCTTTACACTGTTCCTTATAGGTGACTCAAGACATCTTCAAGGATAACTTTGACAATTTGACTATTTGATATTGTCCTTTACTCCAAACTCTAAGTTGAATACAACTCCACAAGACATGCCTTTGCATCAACCACTGATAGCGTGCTCCCTTCACAGAGTCTGACTGCCATGCAAGGGTCCCGCTGAATCTCAGCTGTGAGAGCAAAGGCTGGCCCCAAGATCACACTGAAGCAAGAACAGTTTGCTGTATGGTGAAGTACTACAAAGGGGTCTGAGACATCTGATCTTAGATTTCAGGGGATCATCCCCCAAGCCCAAGGAGTAGGTTTATGGAGGGAGTCTACTGGCATAAAACACCCATCATTACTGCCTGACAAGGCCACCCCTGGGACTCAGAGCACCAGAAGATACTCTCAGTGTGGTGAATGAGGACAGGGAGGGTGGCACGCCCAGGGCTCACCTGACAGGGTGGAGCTGCTGATGGTGCTGGCCGGGGTGGTGACCTCAGGCTCCTCCTGGGCACACTCTTCAGGAGGAAGGGCTGGCTTTTCTGGCCCCTCGTGGGGATCTCCAGGGCAGGGGACAGCTTCATCTCGTCCTCCCTCTGCTGAAATAGCCAGTTTGGGAAGCAGGCCAGAACTGAGTTTACGTCTGTTGCTTTCGGTGTCTGAAGAGTTGGATGTGGATAACTGTTGCCTTAATTAAAAACAAAAACAGAGTCATATATACCCACTAGGAAACTGTGTAAAAAGGGGAATTTTGGAGGAAACCAGATAAAAATGGAACTTGGAAAAACCTATCCAAGACATGTCTAGTCCAATGGCTCTTAAAGTGTGGTGCCCAGACCAGCAGCACCTGCATAACCTGGGAGCCTGTTAGAAATGCACATTCTCAGGACCCATCCCAGATCTGCTGGATCAAAAACTCTGAAGCGGGTGCAGCAATCTGAATTTTAACAGCTCCCCAGTATTCTGGTGCTCACTAAAGTTTAAAAACATTGCTTAGCAGCTACTGCTCATGGTACTACTTCAGAGGCATTTCACGTACATTTCAGAATATTCCGAACTCCAGCTTAATGTTTCTGTGGACGGCAAGGTTGTGCTTTTGGCTTTGTCCCCAGAGTCTTCCTTCTCTTCTCCTGAATTCTGAGTTATTCGATCTATGCTGCTGAAAACCTGGAAGGCAAATCACCGGTGCTTATTAATATCTTCTAGAAAGAGTTTGCAGCAAACAAACAAACAAAAACAAAACAACAACAAAAAACACCCAAGTATTGGGAGAAAAATCTGAGAGAATAACTAAATGTTAAACTGAAATCACATATTCAGAAAGAACTTTCCAATGTTGCTTACTTGAATCCTGAGATGAAGGGTCAGTGTGTGTGTGTGTGTGTGTGTGTGTGTGTGTGTGTGTGTGTGTGTGTGTGTGTGTGTGTGTGTGGCGCGTGCGCGCATATTTTTGGAATAGGGAGCTATGAATTCATCGTCCTCCTTTACCATATCTCGTTGTGGACTTTGTATCTGCAAACAAAATCCATAGATGCATAGGGGTTTCTAGGCCTGGGGAATCAATGCACTCTTAAATTACTTTTTAACCATGAAGTCAATTGGAAAAAGAAAATAACAGAGAAAAAGATTTAGTGGCCACCAGTCAGGGATAGGAAGAAGAAAAATGAATTGGAATTGAGTGCAAAGAGAAGAATAAATTATCTGCTTCAAGACTCGGATGGTGGGGGAAGGGGACAAGGCAAGGATGCAGTACATACTTGGTTATGAGAGCCAGAAGTATTTGTTTGGCTTACAAATCACATATACTGACAGGCAGCTTCATATGTTAGTACTGGGATCCCTGAAGGGGATCACAGCTCAGGAAAGCCCAAGGCCTCAGCTACCTCTTGCATCTCTGAGGTTCCACGGAAAAGATGGAAAGTGAAACAGGGGTCCAAGAGCCCAATGCTAGAAGCACTCCCCACTGCCCTACTCAGACACCTTCTCTCTCATGGGAATAGTCCTCAGATAGCTATAATTGACTGGGATTAGGAGGAAAGTGGGCTAAGGAACAGGAGACGGTGGGAAATGAAATACCATGGATGGCAAAAAAGGGAAACAATGCTTAGGGGTTAGCTTTGAAGGGTCAGAGAACAACAGGTGCCAGTCTGAGCTCACATTTGGTGTTAGCAAATCTTTCATCCTGGCACTGGGAGAGACTGGCCACCACCCTCTTCAGGGAATTCCCTCCCTCCTGTCACTTCCATAATCAGGGAGGGTAGTGCTGGCCAATTTGCAGGTGTACTCTAGATAATCACTAGAAAAAGCTACAGAGCACTTTAAAAATCACTGAATGTTATGGAAAAGCGAAACAAAAATCATGTGAAAGCCGTAGCAACAGAAAATATATAGCTACTGAGAACAGCAAAAGGAAGGTAGGGTGACTCAGGTTGATTTCCATTTTTTCTAGGGCCCCGCCCTCTCTCAGGACTATCAGTTTTCTTTGTGTGTTTTGACCGTTTGTTTTTAAATCTTACCACTACTGGCTAAAAAGTATCTTCCTCAAGTTTCAATTTTATTATCTCCCACAATATCCAAAATTCTAGCTTGGCTTCCTACTGCCTTTTCAATATGCCTTATAATTTCTATCACTGGTTGTGAGACTTTCTGATTCCACAGTCAACTGTCCCCAGAGTATCTTTGCTGATGTCATGGACAGAGCCTTCTGTTGTGTTGTTCTCTGTGGATATCTGGGAGAGGACTTCGCCACAACAAAGCCTGCGTTCTCCATCAAGAGAGGAAAGGAATGGAGCGATGCCTCCACAGCCAGGCACTATCCAGGCCAAGGGATAAGCAAGGCAGGTCCTCATGTAAGCAGCGATCACACACTCCCAAAAGAGGACTGTGGGCGCAAGGCTACACCTCCAACAACACAATAACGACAAAGATCTTACTTTGTGGAAGAAGAGGAATATACTTCCTCAGTATGGTAGGGACCCTGGACTATCAAATTGATGGGGTCGCTTTTCCTAAACAAAAAGGAATTCTAAATATAGGTGACCTCAAGTCCCCCAAAAAGTAGATGGCTTTACACTCCTATCCAGCTATTTTTATTCTCCTGGCCAGTTGGAGATGCCCCCAGAGAGATTCTATGTTTACGCCACATTTCACTTACTTTTGAAAACCTATGTGAACATGAAGAAAACTGCCTTATTTCCACATTAAAGTCTTCGTCATTTGTGTCATCTTCTTCCTCAGTTTCCATATGATGGTACTTCTCTGACCGAGCTGCAGAGAAATGTTTTTAGATATTTTAATTATGAGTTTCTTTAGCAAATCAACATGTTTAAGAGCCCACAGGTATAGGCCGGGTGCAGTGGCTCACACCTACAATCCCAGCACTTTGGGAGGTCAAGGTGAGAGGACTGCCTGAGCTCACGGGCTTGCAACCACACTGGGCAACTTGGTGAGACCTCATCTCTACAATAAATCAAAAATTAGCCAGGCATGGTGGCATGCACCTATAGTTCCAGCTACTTGGAAGGCTGAGATGGAAGGATTGCCTGAGCTCAGTAGGTCGAGACTGTGGTGGCCGTGAGTGTGCCACTGCATTCCAGCCTGGGTGACAGAGTAAGACTTCAACTCAAAAACAAAACAAAACAAAACAAACCAACAAAGAACCCACAGGTGTGAGATTGGAAGGTTCGAAAGTGAGAATAATTGTGAAGTAAAGGTTTTATGTCAGATAATACACATACTATCAAAATAACTTGTGTCATCCTCAGATTCCAACTGGGGAATAAATTCTGCCTTCTGTCTCAGCAAACTGTTCCAGTCCAAAGAACGGAAGAATCGATGTTGTTTGACTTCATACGCACCACCTGGAAGAAGTAGACACAGAGAGTAAAGTATTATGCTATCCTCCAAGCACAGGTAAACACCATTTTTGAAGAACAAGTTAAAAAACTCACCAGCAGAGAAATAATGAAGTCATGGAAATCATACTCTTTCATTCTACGACCAAAACCCCCAATTTTTTTTGATAGTTTATCTTTAGGAGATCTGATTTTGTTAACAGCAATTGCTATGGCAGAGTTTTTCTTTGTTAGTTTTTTCGTGACTTCTTCCATTTTTCAAGGGTTAATGTTGTGGCCACTTAAAATAACATTATGCTGAACTTGGCGACGTGGAAGAATATTGACCCAAAGCAGACTCACTCACTAGAGACCCAAAGAAATTCTCACATGGGACAAAAATGTTTCACAGCATATATTTCCTCTGGAGGTAAGGTTAATAATGATGAATTTTTTTAAATGTGATATATAGTAGTTACCATGCGATTTTATTGGATTGCTCATTAACATAGATAGGAATTAGATTCTGTAGATCACAAATTCTTAAGTAGGAAACTGACAAACATGTTTTATAGATTTATAATGCCTCTGATAAAAATCAATCACTATTCCTAAGTTAAAAAAAAGTTTTTCTTTGCCAAGTCAGCATGATAGCACAGTTTAGATAAATGTTTTCAATTCAGTTCATGAATTCAAAGAGTGATTTTAAAGAACAGTTCTCATCAAAAATATTAACATTATACCCCATGCAAAGGGGAAAGGTCCCTGTTATAAAATCATGGCATGAGAATCAGACCCTCCCTCTGCCACAGCACATACACTGTTGAGGAGGGAGATAACAAAGAATCAATCCTGGAAAAACACTAGGAAGAAGAGCAATTTCTCAGAAGATGAACACAGGGTCTAATCAGCCTCCCTGCCAGGGGACCTCCTCTAGGTGTGACACAAATGCCTTTCTTACAGTTGCCACCCAAGCCTCTTACGTTGGCCTTTGTGGGGCGCAAAAAGAATAGGAAGGAAGTACAAACTGAATGGAAAATGGACTGTGGATCTTGGTGGGCGTGGGGTGGGGTTCTGTCTGTGTGGTTCAGAGACGCAACTCTGTCCCTATGGGGCCCCTCTAGCACAAGGCACATTGGCTCTAGCTCCAAACCCTGCCAGGGAAACCTGGTGTTTTGACAACTTGGACAATCTTTTTCTAAGATTCTATCTAGGCAGTTTCCTTGTTCTTAGGAAAATGCTGCAGTCTGATGGTAAGTGCTAGCCGTTATGATTTGAGGGCCAACTTTGGGACAAGTATTGCCCTAGATGCTACAGGCGTCTTGTTTCTTTTAATTACATCACTGAAAATAACACCACGAAGAAGGCATTATCAACTCTACTTGTGGATGTGGAAACGAAGGACAAGCAATAGAGTGCTATGGACCAAGATCTCTCCGAGGGTAATAATCAGAGGGGCTAAACCCAGGCTTATCTTAAAACACACAGACCCATTGCTTGAGTTTCCTCCCAGTCCACCATCTCTCTTGCATCAATGTGCAGACAGACTGACAACTGCCCATTCTGGGGAACTGAGTTAACAGCCCATTCACATGGCTGTTCTACAAGGCACCTCTGCAGAGTTCCACTCCAGTTTCCCGCACATCTTGACTCTCATCCGATTCTAATCCATGTCCTCAACCACAGCTGCTAATCTCGTTTTCTTCTCATACTCTTTTACATGGAGAAGCAGAATAGAAAAGTTAAGAGGGCATAGCTTTCCCCATCCAATGCCCTCGCTGTGTCGATCACACTGAGGTTCAAAAGGCCAAGCCCTCGTTAGCGGCCCACAATACATATCTCTGAAAATCCTAGTCCAGCAATGGCTGCTATAACACAATGACTATCACTTCAGCTGCTGCTCCACGGGGCCCTACCAGTGATCCAGCCCTGATGTTTTGGGTTGCCCAACTTTACCCAGAAAAGCACTTTCTTTAGGGCCGAGGGATCAGATGGCACTTCCAGACCATATCCAGTGTTAGCAGTTTTGCGTCCCTGCCTGCCATGCTCTGAGACCCATGCTGGCGAGAGCCTTCGGTTCATCTCTATGAATAATGACAAACGGGTCTTCCCCAAGGACTCCACAGCCCATTTTTGTTCTAGCTTGCATTTCTCACCATTCGGCCTTTGTGCTTCACTTAGTAGAGGCTGGTTATCAGTGGGTCCTGTTTCTCATTCACTTATGGAGAGATAAGGAAGTGAATTAAAGGGACAAATTGGGAGAAAATGACCTCTGGGTTAAACTGTTGCTAAAATATAGGTGACGGCATTATGAGCTAAATACAAATCACTGATGCAAATGAAAGCGCCTATTGTAAGAATTCACCATAAAGGGAAGGGAAGGGAAACAGAATTTCCTGAGTTGCTGTCATGTACTAGGTCAGTATACTAGATACTTTTGTGAACTTTTTGAATTTATTCCTCACGATAATCCTGCGAAACGTGTAACATGCCCATTTTCATAGACTAGAAAACTGAGACTCAGGGTAACGAAGAAACTACTTGAGACCTCATGGCTGGTCCATGGGTAACAGTGACATCTGAAGAGCTCTAAAGTCCAATAAGCCAGGCTGCCACTCAATACTCTACAAGTTCAAAAGTATAGTTCCAGTAGGACAAGTTCCCAAATTGCAAGTTATGCTTTGGCACTCATGTTCTCCCTTTTTTCTCCTTTCATGGAAGTTTCTTAAACACCCATTATGTTCTTCACACCCTTTTTCTCAGTCTCTCTAGTCTCTTGGGCAAATGTGCATTCGCACATTTTCACGGTGCATTATTTTGCCCGCTAAATATGCATTAACTACAAAATGCTGTCATCGGAAGCAGCATGGCAGGTCTGCGGGATTCTCGGCCTCATACTCTGGGCCCTACTGGGACCTGTCATGTTGGACCTGCCTGTTTGGCAAGCACTTGACAATGCTTAGAGCTTGGGTAGGGTCTTTTAAATGTCTCTGTTGGGCTTCTGCTAGGGGATTTGTTCTTCAAACTGTCAAGCCCTAAAAAGACTGAAAGTAGCACACAATAAGAAAATGTGCAGAGAACGAACTTGTGGCATATGCTTTATAAACATGTATACGCTGACCATAATCACAACCTGACTTGTTAAATCAAGCCCAATCAAGAATCCATGCATGCTTGGAGAAGTGAATCGGGCAGAATACAGGTAGAACATCCCCAGTCTGAAAGTTTAAAATCCAAAATGCTCTGAAATCCAAAACATTTTGAGCTCCAACATGATGCCACTGGTGAAAATTTCACCTCCGACCTCGTGAGACAGGTTGTAGTCAAAATTCATGTGGTAGACTTACTGAAGGACTAGAGCAGTGAACAACTGGAACAGAGCAAGAAATCATGTCCGTTTATAAAATAATAGGGTCTTCTAAGACAAAAACCATTGTTAATGAGGCAAATTACTTTGGATAAAATGTTTTAAAAAGACACCCGGTAGAATGCTTCTTCATCCTTAAAGAACCCATTTCCTAGTCCCTCAACTGCTTCTGATGTTTCTTCTCACCTAAAAAAAAATATAATACAGGGAATGGTAATCTTTGAATCAAAACACAGCATCGTGGGTGGAGACAGAAGGCCTGTGGTTGTTTGTTGCTGCTGTTATCTAACGGCTGATCCAGTGTTCTGGTGATACTGCTGTGCTGCTTAGTTACCCTGAACACAGTATTTTCCCATTGTTAACAGTATGTCCTATTTTTTACTGTTGAGTACTTATGAAAGGGGACCCCAAAAACACTGGAATGATGTTTTGGAGAGTGGGCCCTGAGTAGTACAGGTTTACCTCGCTGGATAAGTGTTCTAGGAACCTATCAGTATCAGTGCACCAGCTAGTATTGTTGTGAGAGGCTGTGTTCGGCTTCAGTGAATTTTTTTGGAGTTTTTCAACGCTCTTGCCCTTTTCATGCTGGGTGATTATGAGCGCACCTGCCCATGCCGCATTGAGTGTTCAGCAGTTTTTGACCGAAATGGCATGACCCCTGTGCCTTTCCTATTCACCTGATTGCACCAAGTGACTCAAAGGGAAACATTTTGCCAATGTGGAAGAGGTGAAACAAAAAAAGTTAGAAGCAATAAGAGAGCAAAATTGACAAGTTCAAAACTATTTTGAGCAGTGTAAAAAGCGTCCCAATAGGTGTACTGCATCAGAGAGTACCCTGAAGATGACTGATGTTTAAACATATGAGAATTAAAAAAAAAAAAGAACATACAATAAACTGTGTTTTTTTTGGGGGGGGGTCCCCCGTTGTACGTGAATAAATGTAAGAAAATGACTGCTTGTTGGTAGCCTAAAAATTCAGAGTCAAGAATGATGGTGATGTCAAATTACCACAAGCTGCCCACTTGGGTGGCTGAAATAGGGACACCTTTGCTTTCTGACAGTTCAATGTGCACAAATTTATTGCATGCACAAAATTATTTTAAAAATTGTATAAAATTGCCTTCAGGCTTTATGTATAAGGTATATATGAAACATAAATGCATTTGTTGTTTAGACTTGGGTCTCATTCCTAAGATATTTCATTATGCATAAGTAAATATTCCAAAATTGGAAAAAACCTGAAATCTAAAATATTTCTGGTCTCAAGCATTTAGGATAAGAGATGTTCAACCTGTATTAAGTGGAAAAACTCTCCAAACTGACACACTTGAACACTGAAGGGAAAGGGATTTTTGAGTTTCCTCTAGAAAGGCTGTACCTATTCTAATATATTTTTAGTCAGACGTTAGGATGATGTTTCTCTGGGTCAGTTGAATGAGATGCATAAGTAGATATCTGTATTACTGCAAGACAATCTTAAAATGCCACTGTTTTTCATATTTGGCTCAAGTGAGTAAAAATCAGTTCCCAAGACTCTGCCTCATATACAGTCTCGACACCAGTTCTTTGATAGCTACTCTGATCTTTTGAACCATAAAGTAATCTGACTGCAGGCCATGGAGGGTAGGAACTAACAAGTTTCCTAGTCACTTCAGACAAGTAGAAAAGCAAACAGAGTGGGAAGAAATATACAGTACTCTTTCCAAAGAGTTCAATCAGCTCAAAGACAGGGGCGCTGCCATCATTTCTTTTTTTTTTTTTTTTTTTTTTGAGTTAGAGTCTCACTCAGTCACCCAAATTGGAGTGCAGTGGCCGCTCCCGGCCACCGCAGCCTCGACCTGCTGGGCTCCGGCGATCCTTCCACCTCAGCCTTCCGAGTAGCCGGAATTACAGGAGCGTGCTACCACGCCCAGCTAATTTTTTGATTTATTGTAGAGATGAGGTCTCGCTGCCCAGGCGGGTCTCGAACCCGCCGGCTCAGGCAATCCACTCACCTCAGCCTCCCAAAGGCGCGGGATTACAGGCTGAGCCACCGAGCCCAGCTTGCCATCATTTCTATGTTTTGGAAGTCCAAGAGGAAAAGCACGAGATTATACAGGCAGAAAATGAGAAACAAGAGTACCAGGGCAGCTGCATCACACCTGGTTCTAAAGGCCTTATGTGGATGATCTCTTTTTATCCTTGCAATAATCCTGTGAGGCAGTATTTCTAGAAGCTTCTTTAGATGAGGAGATGAGGAATGAAAAAGGAAGTAACCTGCCCACAGACACACGGTTGAGATGTAAACTCATGCCACCTGACTCTGGAGTTTGTGCTGTTAACCTCAATGAATATTGGCTTTCCAAGTTAAAAATTCACTCATCCACTGAAAAGGGCAAAAAGGCACCCAGTACTCTAGTAAGAGGCTCAGCTCAAAAAAGTTTCCCAGTCAAGCCCTGATTTTAAGCCTTTTTGAATTCTTTCATGGAAGGTCTGCAAAATTTTTGTATACAAGGTCAAATAGCAAATGTTTTAGTCTGTGGGAGCCATATAGTCTGTCAAGACTACTTATCGCTGCCCTAGTAGCAAGAAAGAAGCCATAGACAATACATGAATGAGTGGGCATTGCCGTGTTTCAATAAAACTTTGTTTACAAAACCAGCCTATCGGTCAAATCTGGCCATAGTTTGCCGACACTTGTTCTAATGCATGATCAAAAGTACAGCAGCACAGCATTCCACACTTAAGCAGAAACAGAGCCCTCCAACAGGGGAATGTGTGGGTGAATGAGGAGAATGATAGAAGATAAATATTTAGAGCTGTTGTAAATGTTTTTTGTCTTGGAAAAAAATGGGGGAGACAATGATTTCTTCAGTATTTTCTGCTATTTCTATTAAAATGAGGTATAGAATGAAACAACTCAGAGCAAACAACCCATGAAGCCAACAATATTCACTGATGAAAATTATGGATGCTGGCTAGAGTATGTGCATTTATATTTAATACTTTAGTTTCATTTACATAAATTCTCATATTTGGACAAACTGAGACTCTATGCTAGAATCTCAGAGTCTGCCTATTCAGAATACAGGGAAGAAAAAAACCCAAAAAACTGTTAGCAGTGTAGTCAGAAAAAAGTAATCAGCAAGAAACAAATCTACTATCTCCTTAATCTTGAAAGGAAGTGGTTTTTAATTCACTTTCTTGGGTCATGGTGCTGATCACAATTGACAGGACAGCATGGTTCAACCCCAGGCACTCATTTCTAGTCATTAGCTCAAGTACTGATAACTTATTTCCAAGCCTGGGGATGGTAACATGCTGGGTCAAATTCTTGTGGGAACATATATTAAAAACCAAAACCCAAACCAAAAAGAACTCTACATATCGAATCCCCCGTTTTAAGTTACTTAAGACGCATGCTTTCCAGGGCAGAAGAGTTATATGCACCCTTGAGGTTTTCTTCCAGAGAAGTTTTATTTACTGAAACAAGTTAAGAATAATTTCTGCTTTGCAAAACACAAAACAGCAATAAAAAACAAGACAACAATCAACCCTCCTAGTGTACAGGCCGCTCTGAATCAGAAAACAAAATCCAAAATATTACTGCTGTAATGTCTGTCGTCATGTTCGACATCAACTAACAGATGCTTGCCTAGGCAAAAGCAAAACACAAAAGCCTCGGCGTGTGCCACGCTGACGTTATTTCCTGCATATTAGCAAAATTAAAACACATGTGCTCTCACCTGTTCCCAGTCTCTCCAGGGGATTCTGCCTGAGCAACAAGGTAATCAGATCCTGAGCATTGGCTGGGGGGGCCTCATCCTTCTCAGGCCAGTTGATCTCATCTAGATGGAGGAAAAGCAGTTTATTCTACTAGTGTTCAAAAGGTGGTCCCGGCCCCATAGCAGGGACATCACTGGGGAGTTTGTTAGAAATGCAGAATCTTAGGCCACACCCGCACCTACTGAAACAGGATCTGCATTGTAACAAGATCTCCAATTGATTTCTGCTCACAGTCAAGTTTGAGAAGCACTGTTTTGCAAGACATAAATAGCACAGATTTCTACAAGGAAGGAAGAGAATATTTCAATAATATTGACTCGTTTTTCTCTCCCAGAATTGGCTCCCAACAAGTTGCTCCTTCTAGTTATTAAGAGAACATCAGATTACAGAAATGCTAAACACCTGTGTTTTGGGGCTACCCATCCAGGGATTATCTAAGAGTAAGATTTTCTCTCTTAATTTCTTCAGCTGAGAATTTGCCCAGAGTCAGAGTTTTTCAGCTCTAAGAAGCAAAGAAGTGATTCTATAAAAATGACTATTTCCAGAGAGAAAGAAAAGGTCAATATACTAAGACTGAAGAAGAAGAAGAAAAAAATAATCACAGTAATAGTATTTAAAATGTCATAAATATTACACTACATTCTTATTCTAAAGAAGTTTGCCTGGAGATAGGTGTGCACGCGTGTGTGCATGGAAATGCAATAAAAACATGAGTTATTTCTGTGTGTGCTTGCCTCTAGCTTCCTCTGCCGCAGTTTAAATCTGATTTGGAAAATAAAACATGAATATGCATCTGAGCCGTAAGGCATCAAGAACAAAGCCAGCATTTGCTGCTCGCGTTAATTAAACAGTTGATTCCCCTTGCCATTCAGGGCCTTGGTATATCAGAAAACAGCCTAGTTATAAATCCATAAACAGCTCGGATATTGTATAAAAGGGTTATATACTGCAGGCAACTCACAAATCTGCTTTGTTAAAGTTCACAAATATGCCTGGCTTGCAAAGCCGGTGATAGAAAGTAGAGTTGTGTTTCTCCCTACTTCCACTGCTGGACCTTGTAAGCACAGTCCAGGATAGACCATGGGGTGGTAACTGATGGAGATGTCAGGGATGTCCAACAAACTTTCAAGGAAGAGCGTCCTTTTTGATCTACGTTTTGGGTAAATTTATAAAGTCAGCAGGTAGGGTAGTAATGATCCCTATTTAATTATCATTTAGTTCTGCCACAAGCCACATAACAATAGTTAGGGTCAGCTTGCAGGTTAAGATCTAAAAGTTATTGAATTTTAAATGAAAGATGAACAGCTGTTATAGAAATAACATTTCACCATAACAACTACCAATGAAATCATTAACAATCTGTGGATGCAATTTGCTTCTTTCCCATTCTCATTATTTATTATTTGGTAGACATTTGTTTTAGGGTTTATTACATTTTTTTTTGTTAATCTCTTCATTGTGCCACCAGCCAGTTTTCTCATTTAATATAAATGTTACCCATATTAACCTTTTCTTCCCTGGTGAAACTTTCCTGTCATGGAAAGGAAGACTGGAAGATAATTAAATCATTTGTAAACCCCATATCAATTTCTTTTGCAGAAAAAGCACATGATAAAAGTTGGTTACATTGCTAGTGTATTTCCAAATTCCATGTTAACAAAACTTCCTTGGATCAATTTTCAACAAAAATTGCTCTCTTGAGATTGTGAATGTCAGTTACATGCTAGGATGAGTAAGTTCTTTTAATTTGGTTGGTTCAATTGTTTGACAAAGGTTAACATTTTAGCAGAAAAAACTGCGACACTCGACAAATTTACATGAAAAAGCTGCTTCCCAAAAGTGGCTTAACGACAACTCCTGATATTTACCACTGATGACTTGTCCAAATAGCTCCTCTGGAGTATCTCCAAAGAATGGCACACATCCAACCAGAAATTCATAGAGGATGATACCCATGGCCCACCAGTCCACTGGCTTTCCATAGCCTTGCCTCAGAATCACTTCTGGTGCGATGTATTCAGGTGTGCCGCAGACCTAGAAGATGATTGCACTATTAGAATAATTGGAATATTAGACATGAATTAAATGAGCAAGATGGCTAACCACCAATTATTTTGCCCAGAGCACACCTGCCTGACCACATGGAACCATCGGCAAGGAGCTTAAGAACAATTTGATATACGTAGCTAAAATACCAAGGCAAAGAACCATTCTGAGACCATAGAAGGCAAGTTTAACATTGTGCTCTAATGTTACATGATAAGTCATGTTTCACGTCAAACTGAGCGTCTGACCCCGTTTGGTTGTTTTAGCTATTACATAATATTTAGAACATGTGTAATCCTTAAATTTAAAATTTTGAATCTGTCACTATCAGGGCGAGTTCTAGTAATTATATGACCGAAATATATTCACACTCTGGTTATTTCATAAAAGCAGTGACAGTTGAGATGTGTTTACCTTAAGTCACTTTACAATGAACAGATTGTGGGCACATGGTAATGAGGCATGCTTAAAGGGAAATGGGCCGTGGCTCGGATTTAGCAGCACGATTGTACAATGCATCACGAGCTTCACAAGTACTCTACTGAGATTCCTGAATTCCTTACAAAAACAGTTTCCCATTTGTCTCTCTCACACTCTCACTTGCGTGCAATTAGGTCGTTCATCTTGCTAATAGACCATAATGCTGGGGGAGGAACGTAGAAGAAGCGGACAGTTCAAAGATGCCCAGGGAGAAAAATGGAAGCAATCTGCACTTTATTATACGTAAGGCTGATACAGACATCTAAACCCCCAGCATTAATGTGAAGATGGCCTACCCGAGTTGGTTCTGAATATCAATGGCAATGACATACTTCCATACTCTGTACTTCTCCATAGAACTGACCAGCATCAAGCTCACCTGTTTATCCAGGAACTCTCGAGCATCCTTCTCAATGTGACCCTCATAAAGATTGGTGGTCATGCTCATCAGTCCCACCTTAGATAACCCAAAATCCGTCAGCTTTATGTGCCCCATGGAGGTGACCAACAAGCTAAGAAGCAGAAAAACATATAATACAACCATTACTTTAAAGCTGCTTATTTATTTTGGGTTCCTCCCTGCTCCCATCAATCTGTAAAACTATGTACTATGGTGGTACCAGGCTTATTACAAAACCCAGCCTGGAGAGAGATTAAGTCACACAGAGATATCAAATCTAGCCGCTGAGTATAATTCACAAAGGAGCGCCAGAGACAAGGGGTAGCTAATCTTTGTTGGTACAGCCACATATAGAAGCATTTACAACACTCTGAAACTCTTAGAAAACTTTTAAAAAAAAAAGTTTTCAAACAAAGTTTATTAGAGAAAGAAGGGAGAAAAGAAAGGGAGACATGTCAGAGCTACCACAAGCGAAATAAACCGCCTGAAAAATTCAAGTATGAAACTCTGACCCCTTTCCATTTCAGAATAAGAAAACAGAAAGGAAAGGGCTACCGGTAATCCCATGCCATACATCAGGAAGTAAGATGAGCAACTCCTCTGTGATTCAAATGAGACGTATAGAGAATATGGGCAGAAATCCATAGTATTGTTTCACATTTCAACTTCCAGTTCGAATTTAAATTTCTACTTATTAAGCACAAAAGCTATATTTCTTACACATACAAATAACTTACAATTGAATATATTACGCATTTTTCGTTTTGAGTTGAAAAATAAAAATTTTAAATAGTATATACACTGTTATAGCAATTAAAAATTTAAAAGAGCAGAAGGGTTAAAAAAAGATATTGGAAGGAAATATGCCAAATATCCAATATTTTAATAGTCATTGTCTTTCTTTGGTAACATTATAAATTTTTTTTTTCTTTTTTCTCTGTACTTACCAAAATTTCTGGAGTAAGCATGAATCATTTTTACCATAAACTTTTCAACACACTTAAAGTCATTACATATTAACGTATAATGTTTTTAGAGGCATCCCAAATGAATAGAGACAGCATGAAATATGCAATAAATGGTGTCAAGATGAAAAGCTAGTCATCTGGGGAAAAAAAAGTCTACCGGGTCTCAAATCAGATACCAAAATGAATTCCACATAAATTAAAAACTAATAAGAAATTAAATTGTGAATAAAATAGAATATATCAAGCATATCGTCTTGAAATAGGGAAGAATTATCTAAATGTGATACCAAATGCAGAAATAATATGTAGCATTCTATGTAGCTATCTAAAAGTTTACATCACTTTAAAAAAATTAAAAAGTTAACTAACACTGGATTTAAAATAATCCTCTTCTCTTATTTCTCTTAATTTTTTAAAATAAGCATCATATTCTTTAAAAAATTATATAAAAATTACCATAAATGCTGTTAAGACAACTCATTTCGGACATTATGAAAAACTTAAAATGTGCAAACTGCATTAAAAGTAAAAAAAAAAAAAAAGTACAGACATATGAAAACTCTGTATTATGTAAAAGAAGACATATGTTTCATCAGTGTACATACTTGTCTGGTTTTAAATCCCTGTGAACAATTCCATAATTATGTAGATATTCCAAGGCCAAGACAGTCTCAGCAAAGTACATTCGTGCCATATCAACAGGGAGAGGACCCATATTTTTCATTAAGGTAGCACAATCTCCCCCTATAAAATAGAGGAAAAAGATTTAGTTAGGTGGATTAACAAAGACCATCAGTTTTGACTGCAGAATTTCAAAGTGGAATCATCTTTACCCATAGACACAGTATATCATATTCATAAGTGAAGCCTGTGTATTAAATAATTGTGCTTCTAATGAAGATATGGTGTGGAGAAAATATCGATTTTTATTTAAGCAGTGTTCACAAGAGAGAGGGTTTGGCTCTGAAATGGAACTGTACTTTGAAGAACGGCTAGCATAATTTTAGAATCATGGTAACAATTTGAAATACATCAGTATAAAACATGGATTCTAGAATCAGACTAGCTAGTCCAAATCCTAACTCTGCCTCTTGTAGGCTGAGAGGTCTTAGGCAAAATACTCTTGGTTCTTTCATCTGCAATTTCAGTATAGCAGTAAAAATGTCATCCTTTGTAAGACTATTGTGAGGATTAAATAAAATAATCTATGTAAAGAATTTACATAATCTATGTAAAGAATCTACGTAAATAACCTATGTCCAATACATACTAAATATGTGGCAAGTATTAGTTGTTGTTAAAATGACCACAGCAAAGGTTAATAAAGCAAAACATTGGTGTGGTAGAAAGAATAATGCATGTAAATCAGGAAAACTATGTTTTCATCTTTTATCTACCACTCGGTATCTAGTATATCTTCCTTTCTCGAACTTCATTTCACTCATATACTAAATGGGAAGGTTTAACTGAAAGGATAGCTAATGTTTCCTTGAGTTTGATGGTTTGGAAATCCTGTTCAATGACAAGAGCTTAAACTGGATGCTTTGAAAACTGGTTTGGCCTTTCCTGATCTAATCATTTAATTAGCTTTGTTTATGCCAACAAGTCACGGTTACTTGAATACTCAGAAACTGAATGTAAAATGGATGGAAATACGTTTACTTGGAACAACCAAAAGGTAGACCACAGACCTCTTAAAAAAAAGAAAAGATAAAGTTGAAAATCAGGAACACTGGCTGGATTTCCTTGACTGCATCTCCTTTTCTCTAACTCACTTTTTAATTTCTTACCAGAGACTGAAAAGGATATACTTTCAATTCATTCTTTAAAGAAGAGCAATTGTAATGAATGCTTTTATGACATGTAATAAAAATAAGTAGGAAAAATCCCATCACCTATATTCCAGCTTTAATGACCAATTGAGAGGAGGTAGTTAGGATTAAAAGCTATTAAAAAAGATAAACAACCTTTTCCCAAATAGCAGTAATTTTCCCTGTGTTAGAGTAGAACAGGCACTTTACAAGCAATTATCAGAAGATAATGACTGGGAATACAGCCATCTCATTGCCTGGCTTCAGTTCCTAGGTGGATACAGCCATCATGCGGCACAGATACAGAAAGTTTCAACCACACAAATGAGCAAGGGATTTCTGGGTACAGGTGTCATGTTCCCTGTGTCAGAGATTGATTTACCTTCCACATATTCCATGACCATGCACAAATGGCGCCTTGTTTCAAAGGAGCAATACATGCTGACCACAAAGGGGTTTTCTGCAAAAGTCAGGATATCCCGTTCCACAAAGGCCTGTTGGATCTGGTTTCGAAGGATGAGATTCTGCTTGTTAATCTTCTTCATGGCAAACCTCTGCCGGGATTCCTTATGCCGGACAAAGTAGACCGCCCTGAAAAGGAGCACAAGTATTAGGGTTCACAAGAAGAGAGGAGGGAAGGATGTTTGGGGGATACAGGAAACCATGGGATCAACTTTCTTGATGTTCTCATGGCAGCTGGAATTCAGCTCCCACAAGCTAAGCTGAGGTTACAAACATCCCGTTCCAGGCCAAACTCCTTGGGCTAGATTGATTTTTAAAAAAAAATTCTTTCAATAAAGGTCAAGGTTTAATATATAAGGCATCAAATTCATCGTGACTCCTGAAGGAAATAAAACAGACAACCCCAAAGTGAACTCTTTAACAACATTTCTCAATTTTCCAATAGCTAGTTAGTATCTTCAGTTTTTCCACAAACACAACAGAATCCAATATATGTCATAAAAAAAAGAATTAACACATTTACATATATATCACAAGTTAATCCTTTCTAGCATTAGATATATGCTAGGCACCTTTTCTTGACTGACTAAAGCAGTAATTTTCTAAATAACACCCTTGGGATCTGCAAAAGTGACCATAGCTTTTAAAGACTATTTGGTTTCTGACTGAGAGTAACTTACTTTCCATGAAATTTCCAGATAAATTAGTAGTATGTGACACATGATGTGAGGCTGTCCTGCAATGAAGAGTAGTATATTTCCTCACTGTAGACCTCAGCATGTGCTATTCCCTACTATGGCTTTTTTCATAGGAATTGCATTTCCCAGCATAAAAGGGGCCCAGTGATGGAGCTTATTTCATCTCCCTCCTGCCCATATCCAGGGTGTCAGGAAACTTTATGACCAGACCAGGCTGCACTCAATCTAGGCCTAAAGCTTCACCCAAGTACTTTATAGAGCCAATTATGGCTAGGTAAAGACAAGGACTCCCTGAGGCTTGGGATGATGTGAAAAAAAGAATTAGGAGGATGAGTCTTCTTTTTTTTCCCTTATTATTTTTGCTTATTGCCTGTATAATTGCAGAAGGAGGAAGAGCCTTAAAAGCCCACCTAGAAATGAGGAGGAAAATGTCTTAGAAGGGCTCCTCTCCTCACAAGTCCTCCTCACTTATCAGTATTATGGAAGAACAGGTTTGAACTCTCCAATGCTCAACCACGAAACAGTTTACCTAAAGAGTCTTTAATCACAGTATAGTCTTTCCAGTAGCCTGCCTTCTAAAACAAGAGGTTATGTGATCTGAAGTGCATTTTCCACTAGTTACCGCATTATCCCTGAACAATGACTGCAAGGGGGTCTAGGACACCCTGCGCTCCAGCTGAATCAGTATATCAGGGTGACTCACAGACATAAATCTCAAGTATATTCAATCCCAGTTTAATAAATATGCCGGGCTCGGTGGCTCAGCCTGTAATCCCACGCCCTGGGAGGCTGAGGTGAGTGGATTGCCTGAGCCCGTGGGTTCGAGACCCGCCTGGGCACCTTGGCGAGACCTCATCTCTACAATAAATCAAAAATCACCCGGGCGTGGTAGCGCACACCTGTAGTTCTGGCTACTCGGAAGGCTGAGGCGGAAGGATCACCGGAGCCCAGCGGGTCGAGGCTGCGGTGGCCGGGAGGGGTCACTGCACTCCAGTCTGAGTGACAGAGTGAGACTCCAACTCAAAAAATAAAAAAAAAATAATAATTAAAAAAAAATTAAATAATAGCATTTTTCCCTTAAGTGTTCAGAGCTAGAAGCTACTTTTTCTTTCAAGTATGTCTATTTTTATTTTTTCTCCACTCACAACATCACATGGTATATTCTTTATGTCTGTAAACATTATTAGTATTTTGCTTTGCTCCTTTGTTTGCTCTCTCCTCATTTATTTGGTTTTGTAGTTCTTTTTTTGCTGTATAGTAAAAGCTCTCGTAATCACACTACATATAACCAACGCATGGAATAACCTGGTCCTCTTATGCCTCCAGTAAAGCAGCCAGTCAGGTACCCGATGCTTTCCACATGGGCTGGCGCTTCTTTTTATGATGGCCAGACACTTGGGCCACTACCAGTTGGGTTTATTCCCACACCTGTTTTGCTGGCTAGACTTGATATCAAGATTAACTAACTTAAACTGATGAAACATGAGCATGAAAATGAAAAGCAGTATTGTTTATTTTTAAAAAATAAAACTAAACTAAACAAATGTTTTGGAAAGTAGTAGTCAATGTGAGTTACTAAATAAAATTCCTATTGATTTAGTGTGGGTGAGATTTCCAGAAGTTGAAAAACTAATAAAAATCCAGATTTCTACATTCAGATTGCTTCAAGTTCTCATTTCACCTTTAAATAAGCTACAATTGGAAAACAGAAACAATGTATTATAAATATGGTTTCTATTGGCTATCTTTAAAAAAGCCTTACATCAAAAGACCAGTACATTTATATATATTTTGGTAAATTATAATGTGTAAAGGACATGCCTTTTTTTTTTGTTGAAGATTTCCTACTTTTACCATCTTTTTAATTAACCACCAACTACTGGTTCTTTCGGTATCAAATTAAAGCTTTTTACTATTGTTTTCTTTTTCCAGTTACTGGTTGGATACAATGAGAAATCCATAGATAACTCAATCTGCTCCCAATCAAATAACGGAGCAGGGAAGACAGATACAAAAGAGCCCAGAAAATAACTTGGCTACCCTTAAAGTATAAGCTAGGCATTGGTAAACACATAAGGTCATTAAAAGGGTTTTTTAAAAATAGAGAATATGCTTTTTTAAAATGAAATCTCGAATTCAATGCTGAAAGAAAAAAAATCTTTCTATAACAGCTTGCCTATTCTTGAGAGTCCACTGGAATATAGCTTTCTTTCTTCAATATTTAATTGTAAGTTTAGTGCTAAGGGTCCTTAGTCATATATTATGCATTTTACAGACTACCACAAGGTTGCCATTTTAATTTTCAATCAAGCATCACCATTTCTTACACAAATAATTGCTCTGCAATATGTTTGAGAATAGAAAGTGGAGGAAGAGGAATAGATTTGTATAAAATTTTACAAAATAATAAGGAGAATGATGCCTCAAGCCCAATTTGACAGCATTCTGACTAGATCTCTCTGTGGCACTGTATAAAAAAAATGGCTTTCTATTGGCTTCTCAGATTTTCAGTTCATAAACTTTGGTTTGACTTTCTGCTTTCCCTTGCTATGATATACTTAATCAAATAATCCTTAGGGAAACTGACCAAAACCAACTGAAATTAATCCTACAGGTAGCTTGAAATATTACTGCCTCAGGAAACACCTATCTTGACCTAATTAGAATTAGTTGTAGCTGGGTTTTGTTTGTGTTCTCTTCTTGGGTTTTTACATTTCTATACTGCTTTGGGAATATTATGCCTCATACTGAAATATGCTTAGTGAGCAATAATTATAGTCTCTCATATACGTTTTTACTCATTTTCTATACAGTCGATGTTCCAAATCTAAATAAACTCAGAGAAAGAGATAAGAGAGGAGGAGAGGAGAGGGGAGGGGAGGGGAGAGAAGAGGAGAGACAAAAAGACGAAGAGCATCTGACAGACAGACAGGTGACACTTAAGCAGACTGTAGACCTCCCAACGTTATCAACTACACTGAACTGAATCGGACCCACATTTCTCTGCTTTCTGGTCCCAAGGGTTGGGCTTGCTTTGAAGATGTTGCTTCTGTCTCTTTTCCTGCACTGACCTCCCTGTGAAACAGGAAAACCCGAGGGCGGGAGGTGACGCACGGGGAGGGGCAACCAAGGACCCTAGCTCTCTCTGAGCCAAGTTATCTCCTCCCAAGCAGAATGGAGGTTTGGGAGGGTGGGAAGTCGAATCAGAAGCTGACAGCATCCAGAGCAGAATAAAGTGGCCCTCTCGGGAGCAGGAACGTCTGATGCGTATATTATGCGTGAATCTCAGAGGGAAACTGACATGAAGGGCTACAGGAAGAGCATGTGGGGGGGGGCGCCTATGCCAACTTGTGCACATGGGTCTCTCCAGTACACGCCCCTGGTCCCTTGAGAGGTGAAAGAGAAGAATGTGCGTCAAGGTTAGAAGAAAATAAAAATGGGAGCGATATGGTGCATTTTCAAATTTAGTTTTTATTTTTAGAGATGGAGTCTCACTATGTTGCCCAGGCCAGAGTGTAGTAGCTATTCAAAGGGGCCATCATAGCTTACTGCCTCCTCCAAACTCCTGGGCTCTGGCTCAGCCTCCTGAGTAGCTAGGACTGCAGGTGTGCACCACCACACCCTGCTAAATTTAGTTTTTTTCTCTTAAAAAATGTTAAGTCAATTTGAAAACATTTGAAGATATAATGTAAAACACAGGTGGACATGCTCAATGGAAGAAGCAGGACCTCTACAACCCATTAAAGAGAGCTAAAAATGACAACAAAAGGATACCTGTAACAGAGAGAAGAAAGCTCTACTTGGAACCAGAGTATCTGTGACCATGTCTATGAGCCCCTCCTTTCCTACAAGTGATTAGAACTAATATTAACTACCACATGGGGCTCTTGTGAGAAGAGAACATCTGTAAGTAAACTAGTTCAGTGCCTGGCACATAGCACCAGCTTTCTACAAAGTGCTAAGTTGGCATAAAGGAAGGTTTAACTTCCAGTCAGGGATCACAAACACATTAGGCACAGAAGGAAATCTGATGTTTATTGAATTGGTTTTACAACATGAATTTTTACCAAGTGTGATGTTGAGAAACCCATGTTGCGTGTTTTAGCATGACAGGCAGAAGCCCTTCCTAATAAGAGAAAGAGGTCCCACCACCTTCTGACAAGTCATGGGATCAGTGACTCTCAGAGCCACTGATACGAGTGATGGACCCTGTTACACAGACTCCTGGGAAAGCCTCTAAGAGTCCAGTTCATCTACCCATAGAGGGATCTATTTGTTAGCCAGTTCACATAAGCCTTCAATCAGCATCTCGAATGGGTGAGCCAGTGGGGGTAGCTCCATTCAAATTTCACATTAAGGACTATTAAAATATGGAGCAAATCTGTTGGAAATATAATGAGAAATTAAATCTGAGAAGAGCAAAAAGAAAAAAAAAAGGTTTGGCTGATTGTAGGATGCCTTGGCCTATATCCTGAGTGTTTACTGATTCACAGCTTGTTGAACTTCTTGTATATTCCCAACCATTCCCTGGAGTGTGATATGCCTTATCTACTACACAGTGGTTTAATTGCACTACAAGTGAGTTTAGTCAGTCAGTTAGAACTCCAAATACTGCTAAGATATATATGCCCAAGTTTTGTAAAAGTGGTACTTCACAGATAATCTTGTTGCAGAATTCTACTGCCAATAAAATCTAGCAGTGTTCTAACTCATATATCCGCTGAACCAAAGTTTAGTCTTCACCCTAACGAAGAAAGAAATCCTCAGATCAGCTCCAAAAGTATAAAGAACTAAAAAATAAATTATAAACAAACAAAGGCCACAAACAACCATGTGTTTGAACAACCTCCCTAGGTAGAAAAGTTTCAAAGAGGTCCTTGAAGGAAATAAAACACTGCAAAAATATAACATCAGAAAGCATGTATAAACTACATCAGGAAATACGCCATTTGACATATCCTGAAAACAAATCAGTGAAGCACAGAAAGGATTCACAGATATTTAAGTTCTTCACTAAGTTAATGGTGTGGAAAATATTAGAGGTGAAAAAATAGTAAGAGAAACATCCCTTGTGGCACAACAAAAGTCGCTTTTATTTCATGCGCTCACATGTGTGATAAGTGGCAATAAATGTCCATGAGATGGTTTATTGCTCTCCATATACAGATGGAATTGGGATTCGCACTTAATTAAATGAGAATTCTTGGGCTGTCTAAATGGATCGGGTCATAGCTTGTGCATTAATAACCCTTCCAAACTATTTATTAGTAACTCAGAAGAATCTTGTCACTATTTACCTATGCCATGAGAGGGAAAGAGTGTGTCTATAAAAACAGATCCAGGAAGGAGCACCATTAATGTGATCACACCATAGAGCTCAATTTAAAAATCCTGCTGTAATAGAAACACTAAAATAAATGAATTGCTTTAAATTTTCAACCAGCCTTATTTAAATATTTTTCTTATCATAGAGAGACAGGAAATATAGGCTAGTTCTCACATAGCAAATACAAAAATCATATATATGTAATTATATTCAACATATATACAACAAAGAGTCAAGTACTTCTGAACCCAAAGGCAGAATGAAAGGTAGAATGAACATATAAAAATTTCCTTTACTTTATTAAATCTTTCTCTCCAGTGCTCTAAAATAACTCCTAAGTCACTTGATATATTTCCTGATGGAGTATCCAACAAGAAGTAATTTTGGCTATACACTACGCCCCTCAAGGAAGAAAGAGTGATCTGAAAAGTCAAGTCAACATCTATTTAGCACGAGATAAATGTAAAAAATAGATATATTATCTAGATGTGTTAAATATAATAGAGAGCTTTTCTTGAATTACTCACCCATAGGCTCCATTGCTAATCAATTTAATTGTTTCAAAATCACTTTCCCGAGGTTTCCTTCGAAGTTTTAGGGAAGCATTTGAGCTCTTGGAAACAAAATATGAAAGTTAAAAAGCAGTTCAGAAGTTTGAGAAAATTATTTTATCAGCAAAGCAGATCACACCTGAAGTATACAAGCTATGCTGTTTAGTGGGTATTGGAGTCAAAGGAAATTGGGGCCAGTTCTACAGGTTAGTCTTCCACAGCAGGGCTGACAAACTGCTCCTTGTGACATTGTCTCAGTTGCATTTACGTGAACCCACATTGCTAGAAGATCAAGGAAAGTTCCTTATTTTAATTTCTCTCTGTAAACTACTCAGGTTGGCCTTGGAGTATTTTAACATTTTGAGGTTTAAATCCAAAATGCCAAACCTTCCTTCTGGTTTTCAGCCAACAAAAAATGGGCCAGAGTGGCCCCACACGAGGCTGGGCTGCTGTGGCCTCTCCATCCCTGACCAGAACACGTGGATTTCATCTCTGTGGTGATCTTCCTTGCTTGGAGGAGTGGTAGGCAACAACCACCCAAGTGGCAGGGAACATCCAAGCGTAGAATGCCTTTCTTTACTTGCCAGAGATGTTACTATGGCTTAGTTAGCAAATTTCAAAACTGACAACACTTTAAAAGTTTAGTTCAAAGAACAGGAATGAACAAAGTGCCCTAAAAAATAAAAAAAAATTCTCTCATGCCCCTTTGATCTCAGCACTGAAGATGGTGTTAACAACCTCTTTGCTCCTTTCTGCAGAGTCCAGAATGTTCTTCCCATTGTTTTGGAAGAAAGACCCTGATTCTGAGGTGGGTGGCACCCTCCCTACTCAGTACTAACATCGCTGACCCTGTGGCCCCACCCATCTTTAGAAGACTTAGGTATCTATGTTACTCTCTGCCTGAGTTCCTTTGCCATCCTGGATGTCTTCAGCATCTACACAGATAATGCACTCAACACTCTGGCCTCCAGGCTACCTGACCTATTCAACTCAAACAACCATCTGGTTTCCTCTACTTTTCCTTGGCCTCTGGTCGTAGGATCTAGAGCTACCTAGTCATTATCTGCCAGCAATCCATCATGGAAAATGTAACTGAAGACTGGTGTCACTTACTCCCACAATTACTGTTCTTTCATGGTTTTGAAAGGCTACAAGTCTCTATTCAAGGTTCTCTTTTCTTATTAACTCTTCCCTACCCTCAGTAATCTCATTTTTGTTCATGGATGAGTCCGAAGTCACCTCCACATCTACCGGAAATTCTCCTTTTGAGTGCCAGAAGGTATCAGACCTTGTAGACAATTGCCAGTTGAATGGCTCTTCATGAATGTTGTAAAGGAACTTCAGATTCAACACATTCAAAATAATGAGTTATGATAATAAATTTAATAAAAACAGCTAATATTCATTAAGCACTTACTATATGATACTGCCTTAGCCATTTTACATAGACTATCTCATTAAATCTTTTGTGTCTATTTTACAGATGGGGAAATTGAGGCACAGAGACATTCCCCCCTACCTACCCACACACCACAGGTAGTAGAAGGTGAAGCCGTTTTCAAATCTAGGCAACCTGCTAAGAACCCAGGCTATGCAGCCTGCTCCGGCTTTCCTGACCACTAGCCTGCTCCATCCTGATTTCTCTTTTGGTGTCCACAATTAGGGAGAATGGCACCAGCTTGCAGGGTCTCTGGCCTGCCAATGCTGCAGCCTCTTAACTGGCCTCTGCATGGTCAGTCTCGCTGCTCTCATGCTTTCTACACTGCAATCGCCGTGATGTTTTTTTTCAAGCCATAACTCTGAGTCATCTCTTTGTCTACTTCTCCAGCTCCCATATATGAGGGGAGAACCCCCTCCCAAAAGACGAAATGATCTTTTGGACGGTTGACCCTTTGTAGTACAGACTTCCCCCACTAGGTGAGTGTTCTAGGAACCCATCTGCATCGATGTACCAGTTAGTGTTGTTGTGAGAGGCTGCTTTCGGGTTCAGTGATTCATTTCTTGGAAATTCTTTCAATGTGTTTGGCCATTCCATGATGGGTGACTTACGAATGCACCTGCCCACACCACGCTGGAGTGTTCAGCAGCTTTGGACAAAAAGTGGCATGAGCCCCGTGGCCTCCCTATTCACCTGATATCAACCTGTGTGACTCAAAGGGGATCGTTTTGCCCATGTGGAAGAGGTGACACAAAAAACAGCAAAAGCAATAAAAGACATCAAAACTGACGAGTTCAGACCAGGCTTGGTGGCTCAGCCTGCAATCCCAGCACTTTGGGAGGCCGAGGGGAGTGGACTGCCTGAGCCCGCGGGTTCGAGATCCGCCTGGGCAACTTGGCAAGACCTCATCGCTACAATAAGTCAAAAAACCAGCCGGGCGTGGTAGCGCACGTCTGTAGTTCCGGCTCCTTGGAAGGCTGAGGCGGAAGGATCGCCGGGGCCCAGCAGGTGGAGGCTGCGGTGGCCGGGAGCGGAGTCTGGGGGACAGAGTGAGACTCCAACTCAAAAAAAAACCCCAAAAAACTGACGAGTTCAAAAACTGTCTTGAGCAGTGGAAAAAGCATCTCAATAGGTGTATTGCATCAAACAGAGAGTACTCCGAAGGTGACTGAAGTTTAAACATGTAAGAATAAATACACAATTTTTTAATTAATAAGTTCTGGCTTTCTAGGGGTCCCCCCTCGTACCCATTCATTTCCTCCAAAGCTCAGTCACTTCTCATTGCCCTTAAGACAAAGAAAAAAACTAAGCATGAACACCAGGGATTTAGGTGTCTAGTTTTTACTCAAGTCTCCAGTTTCTCCTGTCTCTCTCTATCTTAGCCCTCAGATGTACCCTACATCTGAAATATTCCCTCTGCCCTTTCTTATGCTAGTAATTTCTTACATTTCAGCTCAAGTGCCATTTCCTTGAGAAATATTTCGGGGCTGGACAGACTAGGCCAATCTATTTATGTTCTGTTGTAGTAGCACATGGTCTCTTTTCTTCACAGATCTTATTCATGTATATCATTTTTATTTTTTGTTTGTGATTTCTTTTTATCATTTTTTTTTTGGAAAGAAGGGGCTCAAATTGTATGTCTAACACCTGGCACAGTGCCTTGTACACAAATGCACAATAAATATTTGTTGAGCTAATAAATTAACATAGCCAAAGCCTTCAGATGTTAATAAACAAAAATCAACATCATATTTTATTTAATCAAGAAAGATACTTACACTTACTGATTCATCTGTTTCTGGTGTTTCCGCTGTTCCACTATCATAGTTTCCCAACTGAGCCATTTCTAAGTTTTAAAAAAAGCAAAGTTTAGGAAAAATATTACAATTAGATACAAGTACTAAGCTAAAAGAAAAATGATTTCTCCAATATTAAAAAAAAATTTACGGTTACTTCAATGTGCTCAAAGAAAATGTTAAATCCAAAATGGCAAAAACCAACAACTGATATTCTGAAATCATTCATTATACACCCTTCCCTGGAACTCCATTTCTTATGAGAATTAGATTAGAGAATCCAGCTAGCAGGATTCACTGGCTGAGGCAATATTATTAATCTCTTAGAACTTTTCATGAACACTGCATCTGATAAGGCACATAAAGCTCTTAGCATGCTGACTAACAAAAATTAAGTGCTCATTAAATGTCGACTGTTATTTATTATCTTATGTAAAGTAGTCAACCCTAGGCCAGATGTCACATGCTTGACACCATCCTAAGCACTACCCTGGTGGATCAGTTAAAAGAGACAAAAATTTCAAATTGTTCAACCCATATTGAAACGTCTCCTTGAGTCTATATAATGTAAATGAGAAAATCTAATCATTTTACTGTTCGTTTTCTTTTCTATACTTTTCTTAAAAATCATGTTTTGCTAAAGAACATGAAAGCATTTTCTCTGAAACTTTGATAGGGCTTATCTGAGTGGTAGGATCATAGGTAATTAGTATTTTCTTCTCTTACTTGTATTTCCTAATTTTTCAAAATTGAACATGCCTAATTAAAAGCTCCAGCTTTTAGTTACATATTTTATATGTATCTAAAATTATTTCTTAGGCTCTTATTTCAGGTAGGTGTGCTCTTGTAAATATACTCATCTTTTTGGGGCAGAGACTAAATAAGTATATACTATAATAGTAAGAAATATGAAGTAAAACAACATTGGAGCATTACCTTTAGATAAAAATGTACAAACTCTAGATTCTGAAATAACCAGATACTCAGGTTACTTTCCCAGGTTATCTCTAAGGGAAACTCCAGAACAAAAATGAGCTTAGCACAAACTATGCACTTTCTTGGTGTCATTCATATCATGCAAACATCCAAAGTGACTAGTACCTTAGATTTATGAACTTGAAGGTGAACTACAATGTATACAATTGGAGGGGCTTTCAAGGAAAGGGGCAAAATTTAGTACTGTTCTTATTTTTTAAGAGACAGGGTCTTGCTCTGTCTCGCAGACTGAAGTGCAATGGTGCAATCGTAGCTCACTACAGCCTCAAACTCCTGGGCTCAAGCAGCCTTAGCCTCTGAAGTAGCTGGGACTATAGGCGCATGCCACAATGCCCAGCTAATTAGCATTGTTTAAATAAAGAAGCAACAGTAGCTAGCATTTATTATGCAATTACTATGATAAGAAATTATGGAGATAAGCTCATATAATCCTCAAAACACTCCTATAAATAGGTACTATTATTATCTCATTTTTATGGAAGGAACTGAGGCACAAAGAAGTACATTGATTGGATGGTCAAGGCCACACCAAGTGCAGCGATGGCTTCAGGGTGTGGTTCTAGTCTTCAAAGGACAGGCTTTAATGTTAATTTCAATGTTGACAGGAAAGGGAAGCAAATATAGATCAATCAGAGTTTGGAATCCTTTATTAAATTACCTGGGGAAGTCATATTTTAAGTGTTAACAAAGAAACTGAAAACAATCCTCAGATCTGAATTAAGAAAATTAAATGTAATGAATTAAAAACACAACTCTGTGATAAATTTATATTACTAAACTCCAAGTTTGCCAATAAATTTATATTACTAAGCTCCAAGTTTGTCAAAGGTCACTATTCACTTTTTAAAAGGTTCTATAAAGGTACATAAGTGGGCTTCAGATTATGCACCTACTAAAATTTGGCCTACAGTAATATCTATTGCCAGGTAAGAAAAGAACCCACTGGGTCTATAATTCAAGGTCTGACACAATCTTAGCTACACCGGCGTGAAGAGTCACTATAATATATTTTGACAGCTTCCCCACTCCAATTATTTTCATAAAAAAACAAATTAAAAGATGGTTCTGTTTTAAATAGAGTTTCTGCTAAATAACTATTATCTGGGAAATACATATTATTTGTAAACAGTGGGTAGTGATGGAATGGAACCAAGAGTCAGCTTTTGAAACAGGAAGCTAAGACATCATTTTGTAATGCCTGAAGTGAATTTTAAAACTCATCTAAATACCATTAAACATCTGCCCTTTTTATTTCATTGATTTAAACCATTTCTGAAGACTCATGATTCAGAAAGGTAAAGATGGTAATTTAAAAGCCATGGGGAAAAATCTCTCCCCAGGGAACTTTTCAGAGAAGCAGCCACCAGTCTCTGATAAGTGATGAATCTGTTGTGGTATTGCTTTCAGTACAGTATAAATTTATCTGGCATTATCTCACAGTAATGCATGCATCATTTCACTGGAAGCAAAGAGAGGATGGCCCTAAGAGCAAACAAAGCCAGGGAAACAGAAGAGCAGGGCAGAGAGCAGCAGGTTCCCTGGCTTTAGATGGGAAAATCTCCGTGCCAACATTTACCACCACTACAAACAATTTAGCAAGACAAACACTGTTTGCAAATTCAGTTTAATGAACCAGAAAGACAATTTTGAATGAAAGAGTCCATGATAGTTTTTGAGTCTTTTTGGGCAGTATATAACCTAAAAGTTATGAATAACAACTCCAAGCAATAATTAACAGGAACAGGCTATAGGGGACAGAGTCATTTACCAATATTAGCTTTTTGAAAAGTCACTAGCAGGAGGCTTCCTCTCTCTGTATTTAATACAATGATACCTTTTAAAAAAATCTGAATCTACCATAAATTCTTTCATCAGCTTAAAAAAAACATTCTTTTTTTCCCATGGCCCTTTGACATATTACCATTTTTATACTTTCTTGAGACAAGGAAGCACAAATATACCCATCGATACTGCACTCAATTTAAAGTAATCTACCATCGCTTGCATTACTTCCAAATTAAGTTTAAATGTCAATTTAATTAATGGTAATTAATTTCTTTAGCAACATTTTAAAAATTAAAAGTACCCTTAAGAAGAGTCTAACTGAGCTTTGCAAGAGAAAAAATACTCAAAGACTGAAATCTAAACTCTTCTGGGATGCTCTGGCATTCTCAGGCTGATGGGCCTTGAGAATTTCAAGGACTGTCCCCACACTCAAGGTAACCACAAAATGGTCTGTGCTTATTAACTCCTGAAGACTCAACTTACGGCTGTTTACTTCAAGTCACAACTAGTCCCCAAAGATGGACTTTTCTACAGAGCCAAAACATGAGGGAAAATAAAGATTTGCCACTGAGTACGTATATGAGGCCACAGTGGGCAAGTAAGTAAAAGGTTGGGCCAACCGGCCCGCACTGTACTCACCTTCCAAAGGATCCTTATTGAGTCCCAGCTGGCTGATGATGTACCTGGGAATGTCAGTTTTAATGCCCTGTCCTTCTTTTGCATGGCCTTCTGCTGCTTCCAGTAGGTAGTAAAATTCTTCGGGATCAAATTCCTAGCAGAAGACAAATACAGATGGATACTTCTTTGAGCCAAAACTGTCTGAGGATTTATTACATAAATCCCATTCACAATAAAACTGCTGGATATACATTGTTGTAGGTTATTTATACAGCAAGGAGGTAAATGGCTTTAGAAAGTATATAATTCTCACTTCATATTTGAAGTCTATTTATATTCTAAACCAAAACATTTATACATATGATAACCCAAAGATAATGATCATTTCCAATTTCCTTATAATATAACTCTGAAGGTACTATGCTCCACTTAAGAGCTCTAGTTCACTGAAAGTGAACAGGTCTGATTTTGTTTGTTTGTTTTTGTTTTTTGGAGTTGGAGTCTCACTCTGTCACCCAGGCTAGAGGGCAGTGGCATGTTCCCGGCCACCGCAGGCCTCGACCTGCTGGGCTCTGGCGATTCTTCCTCCTCGGCCTTCCAAGTAGCTGGAACTACAGGGACATGCTACCATGCCTGGCTAATTTTTTTTTGATTTGTTGTAGAAACAAGGTCTTGCCAATTTCCCCGGGCGGGTCTCGAACCCGCGGGCTCAGGCAATCCTCTCACCTCGGCCTCTCAGTGCTGGGATTATAGGCTGAGCCACCAAGCCTGGCCAGGTCTGATTTTTAATTGCACCTTTTCAACAAAGTTTTAAAATGTGGTGATTTCCATTCAGAAGATTTGAGATTCAGTTTCTCTCTCACACAAGGAATAGTGTTAGAAAATATTTACTGGCCGGGCTTGGTGGCTCAGCCTGCAATTCCAGCGTTTTGGGAGGCCGAGGTGAGTGGATTGCCTGAGCCCGCGGGTTCGAGACCCGCCTGGGCAACTTGGCGAGACCTCATCTCTACAATAAATCAAAAATTAGCTGCT